CTTACTTATTTCCACTGATTATATGGGATGATTAACCTAGTCAGTTGAATTAAATTTATGTGAGATCCCCTTTGCACTTCTTTGCAGAGGAGGACAAAGGTTTGTAGAAGAAAAGAGTTACTATATTCACTATTCATCATTCCTACAGGAAAAAAAAAGTATATATATATAAATATATTTCAGGTTTCTTAAACTGAGAAGCTGTCCTCCTCAAGAAACACCACTTTGTGGTAGTGGCTGGAAGAAGTAAAAAAACCAACCAACCAACCAAACAAAAAAAAAACAGTAAAAAAGTCTGACTAATAGTACCTCACTCCTTGAAGCCCAATGCAGGAGATAGAAATCATCTGATTGGAAAAATCACAAATCCCATAATTTAAGAGGAATTTTTACTACTCTCCTCCTTTGAAATTATCACAGATCTTTCTGATAAAATATGAAATTGCTGAGGAATAATTCCAAAGTTTTAAGGACCCATACAGCCTTGTGGAAAATTCCACTGTCACATCTCATTAGAAAAAGAGAAGCAAAGTACTGTCTTTTACTTTTAACTCTGTGAATCTCTGATTCTTAGGAAGAAATCCAAGAACTTGGAGGATTCTGAGCGTCCTGCTCTTGATACAAAAAGTGCCGAATATGAAAATGCTCTCACTTTCATAGGGAAAATCTTGCAGAAATCTATGAGGAATGAGATATTCATCTGTATACAATCTGCAGTGCTCTTCCCAACTACTGAATTGGCTGGCTCGCAATTGCGCTGGCAACAGCTTATCAGAAAATGAATGCCTTTTCCTTCCGTTGTTCCATTTCATCTTTAAACGGGCCAGTCTTTGGTGAATTCCTAGCTTAACAATTCACTATATCTCAAAAACATCTGACCCAATGTATACATGATAATCCTATCTCCCCTCTGAGTAAGTCATATCAGAGCACATCTTCACTGAAGATTTATTACGGTAAGCTCAACCACTCACAAGACAGAAAATAAATACTACAATTTTTGCTCAATTAAGCTACTCAGTACCTTCTCTGTATAATTTAGCTGTCTTCTAACTACCAATGAGTCTCAAGTGAGGACATGAGAAGTCTAATCCCATCAGCTGATTCACAGAAATATACCTAGTGAAATCAGTAATGTGACATTTTTTGTTACTACTAAGCAAAGCTATTTCTCTCATCAGAAAGATTTAAGAGTATCTCTTTCTAGTCTTTAACTTTTTTTTTTTTTTTTTTTTTTTTTTTTTTTTTTTTTTTTTTTTTTTTGTTAAAACGGTTTTCTCCAGATGGTTTCATTTGTATGAAAAGGAGAGAGCTGTTACTTGATCTTTCTGGCCCTGACAAAAGAGATTAGGAAACAGCAATGACGTTATCAAATTCTGGACCATTCTAGGCTCCAACTTCATTTGAACATTCAGTCCTGGAATCAATCTTGTGATGGAAAACGGCTTACTTCATAGTTCGTTATGAACTTTTCAGTCATAAGGACAAATTTTAATTTTTACTGCAATCTAATTTTGAGCCATTAATGATTTGGTGATTTGAGACAAGGAAAAGTATCAGGGGAAGCACCATAAAGGCCAGTGGTCAGCCAACCTCGTAAGCTCACAAAAATCATGTGGCAAGAAATCAGTCATATTCTGCTTCAATGGGAACCTTCCTTCTCTCCCCCTTGCTCCTTCCCTTCTATTTCCATCTTCTCACACCATGCTATGATTTCAGGTTACTGTCTTAGGGAAGGAAACAAAACAAAATTAAGGAAAAAAAAAAATCAATATCTTGTTTGGATATAAATAAAGAACTGCTTTCCTTTAGCACTGTCTATCACATCACTGTGGGACTAAAAATTATCTATAAAAATCTCTGCGTTTTTACAAAAAAAAAAAAAAAAGTAAATTATAACCATAGCAGATTTCAGGAATTTTTCTTACTTGCCAACTGTGGAGCAGAGTATACAGAAAAACGTACAACAGAAAAAAGACTGCAACCTTTTTTTTTTTTTCTCTTCAGCTACATAGAAAGCAGGTTGTCTTATTTTAAAAGAATAATGTGTAGGATACAATTTTAGGAAATAATTTTGAAGAATATTGCTTCTCATAAATGTGACACTATCCTTAAACTCGTATATTTAAGAGGTGATAAATTTCATCTAATAGTCAGTGAAAAAAAAAAAAAAAGGATGTTTAATATTAAGCAGGATAGTCACTGAAATAATGTTTTGTCAAACAATAACTAGCAATATGGAGGCTAATTTAACTAATCATTAGTAAACAATAATTATTAAATTACATAGGAACAACAGATTACCTGTAAATATCATCCTCTGAAAAGCTACAGTAAAGAAAGTAATCTTGGTAGGAGTGTTATTAGTAGTACACTGGCTGATTGCTTTCAGCTACAAATTGCAAAGATGATTCCCATCCTTGTACCCTAGTAATTGTCAGTAGAGAGAATGCCAGACTCAAAATGTGTGATTTGAGAATCCATTGATCAGCCTGCACGAATGAATACATATTTAAACACACAGTATCAGTATCTACATGTGCATAACTGCTGCTAGCACAGCTGCAAATCATTGTAAAAATATTTGTTTTAGTCCAAAAAAAGTAAATTTTATTTTAAAATCTTGGTATTTTGTTGATCCAATTACATGACACCATTGCACTGGCTAAAACTGGGGGCTTTCTGCTCTGATTTTGAAACACTTCCAGTGTTAATTCTTCTGGAGAAAACAAACTAAGCCAAAAAAAAACAAACAGAAATAAGAAAACCATCTTTGTTATTCATAATTCAAAATTTAAATAAGATTTATTTAGGAAACAGATTTTAAGTATCTCAACAAATACGTGGATATTCAGCCAGTAAGAGAAAGCTATCCTGTCCTTACAGAAGTGGTGCTTTACTTTTGGAATGAAAGAAACATTTTGATATCACACAACATATTATAAGCCATTTCTCACAGTTTTATAATAAAAAATGTCTTGTCTGCTGAGGCATACAAAGCCTAACATTGATTTCAGTAACATCACTTATAGATATGGCATGGCTTTTCTTTCAAATTTGCTTAAAATTAAGTTTGATGCACTTGCTGTTCTTACAATTACGTTATCCCAGTAGTAATGTAACTGCATAGCTGCTAGATTATTAACTTACCTGATTGTACTATGTTTATGGACATTACTCAAGAATTATATACCACAGAAATTTTGTAACTACAGTTTAAAAACCCGAAATTCTCAGATTAGCTAAAAATATAGAGTATGAATACAAATATTTTCAAAAAAGGTACACCTATAAAATCTGCCTACGAATAAAGCAGAAAATATGTGATATTTCAGCTTTAATCTTTGAGAGGCTTTTCTAACTTTGAAAAACAGCACATTACAAAATGCTGAGGAAACTTATAAAGGCAGACCTCTTTGCCTAGGTAATGCAGAACAGATGTTAAAATTCTCATTGCTGTTTCCCTTTTCTACAAACTCCTTCAGAGTTTGTGTGTGAAAAGAGAAATATAATAGGATTTTTTTTTAAAGTTGTAATTTTAGCACCAGTAAAAGGCTGATGTGATCAAATCAGCACTGTAACACGCACTTTGAAGCCCGAAGGACTTCCTTCCTAAAGCATCAGTAACTGTTCCACATCAGCCACAAGCACTCAGAGTACTAACATGGTCCTTTTCTCCATAAATATGCTTCTAAATAATTTTCCTGTCACTGCCACACTGCTGGATCTCACAGACTGTGACAGCATCTCTTTAATAGAGAGGAAGGAAAAATCTGAACTTTGCAGTCTTTCAGATGATGACCTGCTAATAAGGTCCTGCACAGACCCATCACTGAACCAACTTCATGTTTATCATCTTTCAACCTGATCCTAATGGAAATAAAAGAAGTGAGGCTTGAGTTTGCTTTAAAAAGATTGTTCTCCTACATCACCTGATCAGATAAATGGCATTTTTTACACTGTCAGTCAGAATACTTACTAGCTGGATTATGTTATCATAAAAAAATGAAGGTGACCCAGGGGTGTTGTAGAAAAAGAAAGCAAGTCCACTGGCTGAGTATTACACGATAGGGCTTTAGGGTGCCGCTAAAGTTATTGCCCCTAAACTTAAACCTGGTAATTTTCTAGATTTTCATTTGAAAGTGTCTTACGGAAGTTTTGCATGTTCATTCGTAGGCTAGAAAAAAGAGAAACAATTTGCCTGGTTGGTCAAATTCCAATCTGGTTAATAGAATGTTTTTTTTTTTTTTCCATGCAGCTAGCGTGATCTTGCAATATTAATTGTTAAGGTGCCTAGAGCCCTTATATATGCATCTTTTTATTATTTAAATATTGAAATAAATAAATCATCTCACTTAAGCAACTAGCAATTCAGATTTGTAAGAATTCTTTCATTAATTTTGATGGTGCTGAACCCTAGATATGTTCTAAGTCTCCAGAAAAATAATTCAGTGAGTAGTCTCTCGTAATGTCTAAATATAAATACCTCAGCTGTAAGAAATCAAACGTTATCGAGATATTTTTCATTCACTGGGTTTTTAAATATCTAATGGTGTTTCAAATGCTACACTGTAGAAGTCAGCAGTTGAGCGTGGCTAAATAATAATTCAAAATTACAAAAACATATACGTATATATACTAAGCTTGCACCCCAAAGGAAATATTTCACACAGGTTCAGAAAAAAATAAAGGGGGGGAGGGTGAAAGAGCAAAATTTCAAATATAATTACTGACACAATCTTAACTATAATGTTGCAAACATGATGTAATACCTTGGTAAATACACAAATTAATAAAGCCAAGGAGTTAAATGCTTTGATACGTTTAAGATCAGGAGAAACGATCCATCACTATTTAATATCAGCTTCAATTTTTAAATGCCAAGTTCCACTAAAAAGGGTAGGGCCTAGGGAACTTTAAATTTATATGATTATGATGACTAGAAACAAAGGAAACAATAAACTTATGGATGTTAAAATGCCTTGAAAAAGCCAACTTACGCCGCAGCTTCTTGTTTTGACAACCCTTTGATATTCTTCGCCAAATAATCATCTATGCCATCTTTGTCTTTGATCAAGTGAATCCTAAATTTAAATGAAAAAAATTAAAAGAAACACTGTGAGCTGCTAACACAGACTTCCGTGGCATGTATAATATATTAGCATTGCCAAGTAGAGCTAAATACTGAAATATTGACAAAGTAATGTTTTCTATAAAAACATACAAATATCTTTTTAATTTTTTGGTCTGCAGCCATTTCAAATCCTTATTTCTGCAAGAAATTAGAATTGGCTTAGCTTTCAAGCACTGAGTTACATGGTATTTCTGTCTAAACCAGAAGAAGCTGTATATTAGCTGAAGAAGTAATAACTGATGCTGTATATTAGCTGAATAAGTAATAATGGATAAAGCCACCAATATTTGAACTGCTTTCTAAATCATTACATTTTTTGCATTATTGCTATGGACCAACGTGGTTTAAGCAATTGTGCATCTAAAATTTCTAAAAAATAAAATAAAACAAGTAATCCCAAACCCAGCTCAAACATATTTACTTTCCTTAGTGCAATGCACATGTTTAAGCCTTTTCTCTGCTGCCCACAATTTGAGCAGCATGTTACAAAAAGAGGTCCAACAAAGTGGCACAAGGCACTGAAAGAAATGGAAATATTCCTATACATTTATTAGTGCAAAGATCTGATTTTGAAATTCAAACCATACTTCACATTTTATTTAAGCCAGCATTGCTACTCTGAGACACAAGAGATGTCTTGAATTTTAAAGGATAATTTGCACTTCCTGACCATAAAGTCTACTCAAACAGATTCTTATAACCCAGCCACAGACGACGTTATCTTCATAAAAATAATGTGATTTTTTTTTCTTTAAAAAACCATAAAGATTGTCTGGTTATCACTCAAAGATAAAAGAAATTCAACATCAGTGTTCCACATAAATCTGTAACTTCTTCTCTGCCTGTATGATAGTGCTGACTTTCGTTACAGGTATGAGAGTCAATTCTTTTCATAATGTTAGCTAATACAAGCAATGCACCCTTCACTGCTCTGAGAATACCACAGACACTTTCTGAAATTCATTTAAATGAAAACAAAATAGCTAAGCAATTTAGAGATATTTTGACATGTCTGAATTTCAAACAATGAAATAGTAAAAACCTGTGGCACGAACAGGGCATTTAAATTTGTTCCTGAGTTTACTGTTACTGATATACACCGATAGAAGCTTGTGCTTTCCCACAGCATGTAACAGAATTGCTGCTGACCACCAAAGATATACACCTTAAGGATATTACCATAAAAATTCAGTGAAAATTAATGCCAATGTTTCATCAGTATCAAAATTTTCACAGAAAAACAGTCACAATTTAGGAAGATGAGTAGTGTTGTTAGGAAAAAGAAGATAAGGCAGTTATTTTAGATTTTAAACTAATGTAAACTGTATTTCAAGACAGAATATGTTTATATCATTTAAGAAAATATATTTAAAAAGCAGTATCTTTGGATCATGAAATGTGAGAGATTCAGAAAACACACCCACACGAAAGGCAGATCTTTGTACCTTAAGGCTGCAAAAATGAGTCTTCTTTGCCTCATAAGCATACAAAGAAAACAGCAGATATAGATGGGAAAAAATATTAAAGGTCCAGACCCCCAGACTGAAACATTCATCTACAAGATACAAATTTCTAGGCATCACTGTCACCTCTCTGCAATATAATCTACACTGCAGTTAAAAACAAGTTCAAACTGGAATAAAGGAAAGTCTGATGCCTTCCTACTGTCTTCTCAAATTAATAAACAATATCTACATACAGAAAAATTGGGAAAAAAGCCCCACAAAATCACACACAATTTGAACTATCACCTGCCATGGAGTCAATATATAAAGTTCTGAATTCTGACAGGGAATAACTTTCACACTTACAAAACAAACAAAAAGAGAACAGGGGAAAACAAACACCTGCAGCCAAGGGAAAAAATGAACAGAAGCAACAACTTGCAAACCAATTAGTTTACAGAAGCCCCGAAGTATCCGGAGTATTGAACTGATGGAATTACACTGGAAGAAATGTAAGGTACTGAAAATAACAAATAATTAGCTCATTTTGGCTGCTATTGTCAATGATATTAATACAGGAACAACACAGACAAGACAAGCAGACAATATACATAGAAACAAAAAAAAAACAGAAATTTCCATTATCTCAAACACTCATTACTTAAAACATTGTTACATGTGTTACGTGCAATGGAGATTAAAAAGAAATATAATTGATAACAACTGACACCGTGACTAAGAATGGATGTTATTTCTAACAGAGAAGTAAGCTAAGGATGATACTGACTAAGAAGCATTATTTTTATTCTTCCATAAGTTGTCGCTTGCTTTTTCCAAACAGTTGTAGCCTTATTTTTCCAGCATTTCAATGATGACTCACGATATTCCATAAACAGTTTATATGAGGTGTTCTTCCTCTATAAATTGAATCCTATTTAATTTTAAATCACTCCCTTATTAAAAACAAATATATTTTAATCCGATTGACAGTTACCCCACAGTTGGCTTTTTGTATCATTTATTCCTAATAACTATTTTTGTTACCAGTTCACACAGCAAAATAGCTACAGATTTTGATCAGAAACAGACTTCAAGATAAATACAACTGGCTTTTTAATCAAAGAACAGTACAAAGTCGCATAAAGCATGAAGGACCAAACAGGTTCTCACATAACTCTCTATTCTCACTGCATATTCTGTTCAGTTTTTTCAGCATTTTCTATCAAAGAAAATGGCAGAGCTTGTCTTGCTTTAATCACTACGCACCCGCAGCATCATCCACACCATCACAGAATCACACATTTCTTCTTTGCAGACAGACACAACATCATGCAGGAGTGAAGGAGGATGCCCTTTTAGAATGTGGCACACCCCAAATAAAGGAGAGAAGCAATCCTATCTTGGGTAAGTTCTCCCACAATGGACCAAATGTTGCTCCAAAAGTAATGCATCCTATTTATTTCCACGGAAACTACAACAATTAAAAAGAGCATAACAGCACTACTTGATGGACCAACTTCTCAGCCACAAGCCACTGTTTTTCAACACTGTCACCACCATTAGTTATGCCAGTGATGAACAAGAGCCTGCACGCTGTGCTCATAAAAATCTGTACCTGCAGAGATGACCAACTGCTGCTGTCACCACTGCTCAAGTGCACCACCCAACACTGTTTGGTCTCCATAAACATTCAGCAAGCATCAATAAATGTCAGTGGGTTGCCTCAGATAGGAATTCAGTGACACACCTTTGCTTCACACACACTTCCATGTCAGATGCCATTATGTCAGACTGCTCTCTGCTGCCATTCTCACACAGCAACACAGAATAGGATACTGGTGGGAAGGTTCAGCCTCCACCACCATCTGCCTCTGACGTCATGGGCCAACTCAAGAAAACTCAGGGCAAAACTGAAGGCAGAGCAGCCCTCATAATTAATGGAAAAATTGGTGGCTACAGAACATTGCTCCAGCTGTATCAATTTAATTTGATTTTTAAAAATATTTTAAGGCACAGATCACTGCATCTTCTTATTGTATCAGTCTGCTGGTATGGCCCCCCCCCAGAAAGCCTGATTGAAGTAGTCAAAATTCTATCTCAAATAAATGGAATTGTGGAAAAATAACCTAAGTTTCTAGGACTACAATTAGTAATGAGCAACTATTAAACAGACTTGTTCTATAAAATTATGGGGCTGGATAGCAACTAGGAGTATTCACTGTAGGAGACAAAAAAACATAGATAACTAATAACTGGAAGGAGAAATGGAAACTGACTGTAAAATCATGAAGGCACATGTAGGAATATAGCTTGAAAGGATTATGATACTGTGTTTTATACAGGTACTAACCACAAGATAATATTGTTGTTTTCAGGCATTATATTTTATATTAGATATTCATTCATTGTATTTTGAGAGATGCCAAACTGTTTTTTTGTTGGAATGAAAAAAGGACCATTTTTAAAAATCCAAATAGGTACATTTTTATTAACTTCCATTTTATCAATGCAAGACAAAACTCGCTATTCAGAAATAACTTCCTACAGTTTCTGAAGATGCTTTGAAAAAATAGGATGAAACATCTACCTTAAACAGAATGCATTTCCATTTTTTCTTCCTTTTAACAACAAACCTTTCCTAGGATAAAATTCAATTCTTTCTTATTTTTGCATTTTTAAACACTGCAACAAATTGAAAAGAATTCATCAAATTTGCACATCAGATTGAAGCTATTCACAGTAAAAATAATCATACTCTGAAAGAAAAAAAGGCACGTACCTGGCAAAACCTAATGGTGGACAAATCGTTGGTTCTTCAAACCTGGGATGCCATGGTGGACTTTGAATGATTTCTTGAGGCAACACTTTCATTTCAACTAAAAGAAGTAAACAAAACCCCAATTATTTGAAATATTTTCACAATGATCTAGTTTCCTTTTTACCACTTTTCAATTAAATCTTTTATTTTCACTGCATCACATATAATACTGCCCTCCGGTTCCACACCAATCTGTTTGGACCTCAGCATGGCTTCATGAGGACGCAATGCTTAAGAATAGATATAACCTTAAGGTCAGTAGTTTTCTTTCTTTCATTGGAGTGCTTTTAGTGCTTTTTTTTTTTTTTTTTTTTAATCTACATAGAAACAACCAGTGCAGGCATCTTACTTGCATGTAATTCCCTGTGCTTCCTCAAGCTAGGTATGCCCAAATGTTAATAAACTATGCTGGTACATAAGGTGAAGAAATGACTGAACATGCAACGTGAAATGCAACAAGAGGCAGTGAATTAATGTTCAAAATAATACATAACTGTCCCAATAACAAGCATGTGAGTAGAAAAATCCAAGTAATTCTATACACGCAACATAGGATTTTACTTAAAACAAAAGCAGAAAGCCCCAGTTATGTAGAATTGTCTAGCTTGTCATTTTGAAGTACATAAATGCTAATAGGACTTCTTTGTCATAGAGAGCTACTGTGTTTTTTCCCCAAGTATTCAGCCTCCACTTCCTACCATTAAAGTTTCAGCTGCCAGTTCCTTCATTTTGCATGTCTGTGATCTGAGGACGTTAGCAGCAGGAGCACCCTCACTTTTAAATTTGGTTTAATGTAGGTATTGCATGCCCTGCTGGTAGGCCCCAAGGCAGAAACTTTTAATAGGGATGGGAAAATAGAATATAAGGGGGGGGGAGGAGGAGAGGAAAGAAGAGGAAGAAGTTAACTATTTGCTGCATTTAGAGGAAGAAAATTCCTTTTGTAGGAATAGAATGATAGATACAAGTCAACTTGATGATCAGTATCAGACTAGAAGAATATTTTATTTATCAGCCTTTCTGTGAATGAAAGCCATTTCACTGATGAAATATTTTGCTACATTTATTATGACGCTTTTTTTTCCTTTTAATTTTTTAAGTTGTTACTTAGAATGGAATAGCAATAAACTATGGGTTGAAAAGATGTCAGAATATAGTTAATTCCTCTGAGTCGCACTTTTAGGGCTTGTAGTCCTAAATTTGTTACAGAAAAAAAAAAAAAAAAAAAAAAAAAAAAAAA